AAAGCAAGAGAGTTCCAGAAAAACATCTACTTCTGCTTTATTGACTATGCCAAAGCCTTTGACAGCGTGGATCACAATAAACTATGGAAAATTCTTAAAGAGATAGGAATACCAGACCACCTCACCTGCCTCCTGAGAAACCTGTATGCAGGTCAGGAAGCAACAGTTAGGGAAAGGAGTATGTCAAGGCTGTATATTGTCACCCTGCTTATTTAACTTATATGCAGAGTACATCATGTGAAATGCCAGGCTGGATGAAGCACAAGCTGGAATCAAGATTGTCAGGAGAAATATCAATAACCTCAGATATGCAGATGACACCACCCTTATGGCAGAAAGTGAAGAAGAACTAAAGAGCCTCTTGATGAAAGTAAAAGAGGAGAGTGAATAATTTGGCTTAAAGCTCAACATTCAGAAAACTAAGATCATGGCATCCAGTCCCATCACTTCATGGCAAATAGATGGGGAAACAATGGAAACAGCGTCAGACTTTATATTTTGGAGCTCCCAAATCACTGCAGATGGTGACTGCAGCCATGAAATAAAAAGATGCTTACTCCTTGGAAGGAAAGTTATGACCAACCTAGACAGCATATTAAAAAGCAGAGACATTACTTTGCCAACAAAGTTCTATCTCCTCAAAGCTATGGTTTTTCCAGTGGTCATGTATGGGTGTGAGAGCTGGACTATAAAGAAAGCTGAGTGCCGAAGAATTGATGGGTTTAAACTGTGGTGTTGGAGAAGACTCTTGAGAGTCCCTTGGACTGCAAGGAGATCCAACCAGTCCATCCTGAAGGAGATCAGTCCTGGGTGTTCACTGGAAGAACTGATGTTGAAGCTGAAACTCTAATACTTTGGCCACCTGATGTGAAGAGCTGACTCATTTGAAAAGACCCTGACGCTGGGAAAGATTGAAGGTGGAGGAGAAGGGGATGACAGAGGATGAGATGGTTGGATGGCATCACCGACTCAATGAACATGAGTTTGGGTAAACTCTGGGAGTTGGTGATGAACAGGGAAGCCTGGTGTGCTGCAGTCAATGGGGTCACAAAGAGTCGGACACGACTGAGCGACTGAACTGAACTGAAATAACTGACTTAATTACCCTTAATTCATAAATCACATTACTTATATATTAGCCTATGAAGTGTATAACTTCCTAATTAATTCTCTCTATTCAATGCTTTGTAAAATGTCCTAAATAGAAATACATGGTTATTTATGAAAGAGAAAAATTCAAGTGGTCAGCTGCCTGTCATCTTGTTGGCTATGACTGTATTTTATATAAATATTTCTCTTATCTGACATTAAGAAAGAAGGTAATTTGCAGCAGGGATGTTAAATTTTCCAATTTAAAAAAAGCTAACCATTTTGAGAAATAGTACCCAAAGTTTGCTTTAGTAAACCAAGTATTCTGAGAAAAGTTTAACTTTAATGTGAGGAAGAAAATGAAAATGCAATAGTCACATCCTTAGAGATTGCAGGGGCAAATACAGATGTGTAAGCAGCTCCAGAAATCTGATGTTAGAGTTCTTCTGTTCCCTTGTTAGGTTTTATTTATTTTTAATCATGAACTATTTCCAACATTTAAAAATTAAAGATAATGGCATAATAGACATGCAAGAATTTATCACTCATTTTAAATAATATTAACATATTACAATATTTAAGGAATATTTTTGAAGAGATAATACTTACTTTATATATGCGTTTTTAATATTACTGTTTCTTTACTTTAACTTCCTGCTGGCTTTAAACTGGCTTACCCTAAAGTATTGGGTAAAAGGGACTGAAAATGTGTCCAGCTCTCTTTTAAAGTACATATTTTAAAAAATATACTCAATTCAAAATATAAGAAGAAAATATTTTTAAAGTATTAAATAAGCATTTAAAAATACTTGAAATGCTAAATAATAAGAAATGATAACACAGCAATAGTTTTGCAAGCTTTTCTGGTGATAAATTGTTTCAATCTTTTTAGAAAACAAATTGGCAATATGTACCAAATATTCAATATATTGATATCCTTTAACCTAGTGATTCTATCTTCAGAAAAGGTACAAAATATGGAAATATATATATTCCAGATGAATATCCTTAACAAATTATAATATAGGGATATATTTTTTAAAAATCCCAAACCCAAACAAAACCAGCTTTGGTATCTAATAGGTGGAGGATATTTAAGCAAATATTTAAGCAAATATTACATAAATGTTGGGCTTCCCTGGTGGCTCAGAGGGTAAAGAATCTGCCTGCAATGCAGAAGACCTGGGTTCAATCCCTGGGTTGGGAAGATCCCTTGGAGAAGGGAAAGGGAACTCACTTCAGTATTCTTGCCTGGAGAATTCCATGGACAGAGGAGCCTGGTGGTCTACAGCCCATGAGTTGCAAAGAGTAGGACCTGACTGAGCAACTAACACTTTCACTTTCTTTCACTTAATACATGTTATAAAAACTACTTAGTAACATAAGAATGGTTTGAAAAGTTAAATGGAAAAAACTAGGGATATCAAATTATCCCCATATTATGATTTTTTTTTTAAGTTACCTAAATAGGGGAAAGAGCAAAGAAACACTGATATGTTAATAGTGAGTGTGCTAGAGTTGTGAATTCTCTTTCTCTATTTTCCAAATTTCTATCATATGTTACATGACCTTTATGAAAAAAATCACTTAAAAATCAAAATAATTATTAAAATTATGGATCAATCTAATATACCCATGCAGAGTACATAAATATACTTTTTTGGTCCCAACAAAATTTTAAACACATTTGATTATCATTAATAAAAACATATTCATATGAAAATGTATGATAATTGTTTTGTTCACCTGGAAGCACTATATGAAAATTTTTTTCATAAGCTCCTAGCATCTTCCTTTTTCATTTATAAATCTTAAAAGACTATTTAGGAAAATAAAGCTTTGGCCCATAAAAAAAAAGTATTAATTCACTGATTAATATCTCCCTGTGGATTTCTACTCTTAGAGAGGTTTCATGGGCAAAAATAAAATTTTATGGCCCAAGAACAACAACAAAATCAAAATTAAGAAAATACAAAATTTTAAAGTCACATGCTTTAAAAAACCCTAAAACTATCTGTATTCAAAACAAGTCATAAAATATGATGTAACCTGACACAAATTTCATGGAACCTGAATCTCACCAGAAAGTGGGTTCTCTGCTACACATGGAATGAATGTAAACTCATTCCATGGTTCTTTGGCCCCTTTCCCTTCATTTAATCAAAACATAATTCCTTTTAAAACCTCAACTTTTTAGCTATTATTTCAAAAGAAAACCAGCATGTATGCTTTCTCTTAACTGTTTATATTTGTTAAAACTGTGGGGAACCGTCAGTGCATTCAGTAAATTCCTTACAGCTGGGTGCTTTTTCTTTCAATAAATCAGAGTCCATTTAATGTTAGATTGAAGGACTACAGTAACAAACATATGTCTTTATGTATTACCTCAACTCATTCAGAATATCCCTAACATGTAATGTTGCAGTATTCTTCATTGAGAACACATTCTGCCAGCCAGGCCAACTGGCAATTGTTTCACAGCTTTTCAGAGAAATATAAAGTATTATGAACAAAGTGTCAAGTAGAATGACTTAAACAAGGTTCCTGAATTCCCACTGGCCTTTATTTAGTTTGAAACGGAGCAGTAGCTCTGAATAAACTCAAAAGGCAGGAGGAAGGGGGAAAGGCCTCATTCTGCCATTGTTCTTCAATGGGTGAAAAATAAGTGTACAGAGCAATTGACACAGCAATCTGAAACAGTCTTAAAACCAAAGGGGTAACTGTAGATGGATTTGCCTTCTACAGACAAACAAAATAAGCTTTTTAACTCAGACACACATAGATATCACTTTTAATAGGACCAGGCCATCCAAACTATTTCAAAATTGTCTTCCAGTTGCTAAGAACACAATATGTTATTTTAGGCAATGCTTTACTATTAATATACGTATAAACTAGTATGTGACGTAGGTGTAGTCAATCTGTGCATATGTATATTTTTTCATCTATAAGCTTCAGAATATACTTATACTACTTCAAGTTGGGTTCACATGGTTAATTTTTAAAATTTTTCTGATAATTCAAATTTCCTTTACCTTGGTGCTAAGTTCTCCTGAAAGAAATGACAAAATTATTCTTGAAAGAAAATTTGGCCCAGTTTAGACATGATTTTCAAAAACAAATTTGGCAAGAAATGAAAACCACACATGGTGAAGTATACATATACACATATAATTTTCTGCAGTGAGCTTTAGAAAGACAAAAACCTCAACAGATCCCTACCTGGTAAGCCTCAAATCCAAAGTTTTCTGGCTGGATTTATGTGCTGATTTCTCTACAGGAGAAATTCCTTTCCCTGGCTGGCTGCACGGTTGACTTTCAACATCTAGGTCTCTGCTCAAATGCCTGCTAACTCTTGGTTATTTGCATGATTATCAAGAGAAAATTGAAAAGTGGGATCCATAAAGACCTGAAGCTTTTAGCTTCTCCCTCACCAGATTTACTAAAAAAAGGAAATGGCCAGTTTAATATAATCCTAAAACGATAAGCAATGGCAGAGAGAAATGAACAAACAAAGGCTTACAAGGATTCAGAGCCTACCTAACTTAGAAGTGATTATAGTTTGCTAATGTAAACTAGAAATACTACTTTATCTACTTTTCATATGAGTTTTTTCCTATATAAAAATTTCCACTTTTTAAAAATTTCCATTTTTAAATGGGAAATAAGCATTTTGAAGTTTAAGACCCATAGTTTACATGTAGACTCCTTAAATTTTGAAATACAATGTGAATAAAAATATATACTATTTCTACATAAAATCTTCATTTTAGCTATATAATTACTCTTCTAAAATGAAACGGCAAGTATTCTTTTCCCCCAGGCCTGCATTAGGAAAGCCGCACACAGAATCACCTCGACACTGCAGACAGGGTTGCTCAGTAACCCCCTTCCCCCCGAGGCGGTCTCACCTTGCACTTCGGACACTTCTGGGCATTCCTCTGCCCGCGCTCAATCTCGCTGGCCCAGTGGCGCAGCAGTTTGTCTCCTTTCTTGTACTCCTTGCAGTTAACACCTTCATGCCAAGGAGAGTGGCACTTAAAACACCAGACGAATTGGCAAGTGGGGCACTGGATCTGTGCAAGGAAAAGTAACGTTAAGTACTAGTGGATATATTTCAAGTGTCTAAGAAGATAAGAATGGTGATGCTAGGAGAAATTAGCTGAAAGGCTGTAATTGGTCCAAATTTAAAATACCCTCCCCCCGCCCGCCTGCCGCCCCTGGATAAAACCAAAACTATAGTAAGATATGACTATTCTCATATTAAAGGAGGAAAGAATGGCTTTGGCCTGGGTGATCTGGCTGTCTGTAGACCTCAGTAGAATTAAACACTTGGGATGTTTTGGAAATCAATTTGGCTGTAAGAAAAGCCCTCAGATTGAAGCACAGAGGTAAAATCTGAAGGTCAAAATGCCCCGAATCCCCCTCAGGCTACCACCCTTGAACTTGCCTGGCCCTTGAACCAGTTTCCCAGGCATTTCCACTGCTCTTGGCTTCACTCACTTTTATAAAATCAAAGCCCCCCCGCCCAAGCTGTTTCATCAAATAAAAAACACACCAGCAAATGAACCACTACATCAGCATTTGCTATGATAGTGGATATCCCTGGTTTGCTATTCATATAAGGGAGATTAATTATAAAAATTATACAAAGGATCTTACTAGAAAACTGTATGTATGGTGGTCTTGTGGCCTGAACCTAGGAAACTATCAGAAGATGTCTTTGTATGGTCATTATGCAGAGGTGTATAGAATGCATGTGTATGTTTTAAAAATATCTGTCTTCCTCTTGACAAGAAAGACATTTTATCTGACTTCCTGCGTTTTGAATAACAATGGAGTATCCCACTCTCAAACCATATTTCTGGTCCTCACTGTAGAAACATAGGGGCAGAACTTGACTTTTCTATCTGTTTGATTAAAGTGATTAATAAAATATCTCACTATAAACAACGATAACTGACTATTCTCCTCATGCTCCTGCTTCTTACTTCACTGGGCATCAGTGAATTTACTGACTATACTTTGAAGATGAGTTAGCAAGTCTTTTGGTAAACTGTACATCATCTCACTACTTTCTTTTTTTGAAAACAGTGGTTCCAATCTATAGGGTAACTGAATGGCAATTACAGTCAACTCTTCTGTTATAACTCTAAGCACTATAATATTCACCTATGTCAAGAATAAATAATGTTCTTCCTGTGTAAATATGAGTAACAAAAATACTTTTGCTTTTAACTTGATGGCAAAAGAAAACAGCATTTTGTCATCAATTTTAAAAATCTTCATGTATATTTATTAAAATGCTGTTATATGATAATGTTTATACTGTTGCATTACATGCATTATTTATTTTTATCAACAAACTAATGCTCCAAAGTCAGTATGAACATCATTAAGTTTACAGATGAGGAGACTAAATGCTCACAGAGATTAAATAACTTGCCCAGAGAAACATAGCAAGTAAAAAACTGTGACTCCAAGGCCAGCATTCTTTTCATTGTGTTAAAACACTTCCTCATACTGAACAGCATTCTTGCTTTGATGATTGAAAATTAAAATGTCAAAGTTAAAGAAAGTCATGTGGTTAATCTAATCAGTAAATTAGAATTCTATAACACTAAAAATATAAGGTTAATTTTGAAAATCCCTTTCAAGTTTTTACGCAGATAAATTAGGAAACCTCTTGTGTTTTTTAAAGAGAGAATTTTTAGTCATTTAAAATAACCATTTTTGCCTTTTCTGATCATTAAAATTAAATTAATTTATTCTTAAAGTAAGAAGAATGAGTCAAAGTAGGTAAACTCCAGGTAATAAAACAATGTAAAATGATCTCTAAAAACAATGAAGAACACATGTAAATATCATATGGGGCCTATATGAATATAATTTTTTAATATAATGAATGAAATGAGGAAGCAAAAAAGACTCACTTTACCTCTTGCTTCTGCCACTATGAAAGAGGGCCTGAATATTTAATTTAGTTCTCTTCTATTAGACATTATACACAATTCTAAATTACTGAACTCCACCATTGTTAAATTAAAAATAAAAAACCTTGTTGGTTTTTAATGCCAGTCTTAAATTATATTTATGAAACGAATAGCCAAAGAATTACTGTAACATGTGCCTTGAAACTGGGATTAACTCAAAGGATGTCAGACACTATAATGGCTCAAGGATCTTTGTGACTGATGCTGAACTATCTTATCTACAGATCTCTAATGAAGACAATGAGAAATGTATGGTTCTCCTAAGGTACCAGAATGATAAGGAATCAGGTATTTCATGCCCATCCCAGGATTCTGGCTTCCAGCATCACATAATAAACAACCAAGTTTCATTGCAGATCCTACTGCCAGTCCTCACCGACAACACAGGCTTGGCAGCAAACTGTGAAGGGAGTTTTGCACCAAGTTCTCAAGTGAAAATAAATAGCTTAAATTCAGATTCGCCTGCTTACTGTCCCTCACTGAAAACAAGAAAATAACTATTGCCTTTCTTTGGATTCCCTCATAGCTCAGTTGGTAAAGAATCTGCCTGCAATGCAGGAGACCCCGGTTCAATCCCTGGGTTGGGAAGATCCCCTAGAGAAGGGAAAGGCTACCCACTCCAGTATTCTGGCCTGGAGAATTCCATGGACTGGAGTCCATGGGGTCACAAAGAATCAGACACGAAGTGACTTTCACTTTACTTACTTTGGATTAAAATAATACAAGGACTAACAGGCAATCCCAACCACCCTGTTATTCAAAGACTGCACCTAAATTGTTTAAAGACTGACTTTTTCATTGGACGATGACTTATTCACTCCAACCTTAACCATACTCAAAGTTGGACTCATACGAAACACCTGTAGACATTAACACTGCATCTTCCTCCATATGAAATGCCATCCCATAAAATCACAAACTTCCCACGTGGAGTGCCTGCCTTCTGATTAATTATATTCACACACAGGTTGCCGTGCTGGATCCACGCTACTCAAAGTGTAATGCATCACCACCTGGGAGCTTGTGGCCGACAAAAATTCATGTCCCACCCCAGACCTACTAAACCACGGCCTGTGGTTCCACAAGGTCCCCTTGTTAAAGTTTGAGACGCACAGCTCCATAGGACGTGACCCCATCACAGTGGCCACACCTGATCACACCAGGAATGAGTCCCTAAGCTAAAAGCAGGGATCTGCTGGCCGGCAAGCAACCTACGAGGCAGCTGGCAGGAGCTTTGTGCAGAGCATGCTCCCTGGTGAACAGAGGATAGCCAAGCCAGATGTTTTTGTCTTGAGGAGCGAAACAGGGATACATACACAAGCACTCTACCTTTGCCATATGGGCAAAGACAGAGAAAACCTGATGACCACAGTGCAGATCACAGAGAAGGGAACAACAGACATTCACTTCTAATAACACCACTGAGGGGCTCCCATGCTCCCAGAGCTAGGGTCCAGTTCTCCATGAGGCCCGCAGGGGTGGGTGCAGCTGGGACTGCTTTCTTGTCCTTCCTATTTCCCTGCAGCTTTATACTAAAATACATTATGTGATGGAGCTTAAGAGAGATCACAGCCCTGCTTCTCGTAACTGGAAAAAGTCCAATGAACACAATCTATTGAAACCTTTACTGTGTCAAATACTACTGGCTTCAGGATGTCTTGCCTATTTCTCCCAACCAGTTTCGGTATCTCGTAGAATTTACATTAGACATGTAGCTGTCTAATCTCCCTAACAGGCTACAAGTTCACAGAGGGCAAAGGCTGGCTTCTCATTCATTCTGTATTTCCTGAGTTAAGTAACACAGAACTTTTGGCACATGGTAGGTACTTGAGTAAGTTCTTTGTAAAATGAATGATTTTGCACAGAGCAAGTATTGCACAATGGCTAACATCACATGAATTCCAAGAAAAACCAACTTGTCTAATTTACAACCAGTGGCTGAGACGGTATTATTACTGTCTTAGATTACTGGATGAAGTTTACTAAATATTATATCCACATGACATTTTACAAAACATCATGATTAACGTGTAACTCTTCTACAACAGGCAAGGCTACAAGAATTTTAAAAATCAAGTTATCAGAGACAGGAATCTTCATTAACTCGTTCAATAATCCATGAAAAATAAAAGAACCTTACATTACATTTTTTTACTTTTGACTTTCCTTAGCTTTTCTAGAATCCTGGGCTACAATGACACTCTGAGGACAAATTAAACCAACCCACCTGCCCTAAGCAAATGGTATTTTCTCTTAACAGTTCATCATGCCAATAGAGAAATAACCCACAAAATAAATACAAAATTCAAAACCAAAGAGCATCCTAGAAAAGTTTTTTCTTGATGAACTACTATATATAGACATAATTATTTTAAGTAAATCACAAAATCCTTACTTATCAAACTCAAAATATTAGACAACGTCCATGTATAAATGTAGCATGGCCAATATGAATTAACTTGGTTTTCCAAGAATAATTTGCTTTATTGTTAACAGAACTTCAGATTAAGACAAATACTCAATAATGAAACACTCATCAATTCATTTTACATTCAACAAATACTTACTGAGCACCTTCAAATAACAGATACTGAGTGCACCGATTTTAGACACATCAGAAAGAATGGAAACATTGTCCTCAAAAAAATTAATGAAACGCAGAAAAATATCAACCTGAAGGGCTATAAAACCATGTGATAACTACTGGAGTGGAAGCCTGGACCAGTGCGATCCATGGGAAAATTGCCTCAAGGAAGGACCAAAGGGTAGAAGTCAGAAAGAATAAGGCCTTGAAAGACAAGTGAGGTGTCACTGGGACAAGTTATGGGATCACAGTGCAGCCAGCGAGTCCAACCGGAGCTGCCTTCGAGGCCTGAGCGAACACAGTGCACTGGGGAAATAGTGGAACCTGAAAAGAGGTATCACTTCATCTGGCTCAACCCTGAATCATGCCAATGTGCCCAATAAACAGAGTCCAATCAGCTTTGCATTAAGGTTGCTATACTCCTAGTATGTTTTTCAAAGCACACTGAGATCCAGAAACTTCTCATATGAACCATATACAATTTATGGCTGTCAGACTA